GGGCAAAAATGTTATTAAAAATATAAATTCAACCTCCATCATCTCGATATGTCGTAAATGAGCATTTTTACTGGATTGTAATTGTTGACGGGCATCATCCAACTGAGTTTTTAATTGCATCGACTCATTGTATAATACAGAAAATTGTGATTGTAAACATTTATACTCTGTTGTTTCTACAATTACTGATTCTGGCAGTTGTCGTATCTATAGAAAAAAAATATATACAGTAACGTATAACATAAAGAAAATAAAAAATAAAAACAGAAGAGAATTAACAAAATATTTACATCCATTTTTAATTTTTCTACTTCTTTTAATGCATCGCGATGTTGTTGATGCAATTTATCTAATTCTTGTAACCTATTGTTTGCTAGTTCTCGTGTTTCTTCGAGTTCTCTTTGTAAATCTTCAAGCTGTAAAATAAGAAAAAATATTCGATAACATCAAACACAATATACAAACGAAATTAATCATTTTTTTACCTTTGTTTGTGAAACACTGGAAGCAACAAGAGTATTTGGTTTATTGCTACCTTTTTCGTCCGTCCCATGAATCTGTTGAAATGCTTTTAATTTTTCTATAGCTTCTCCTAGATGATGCTCAAGTTTATCGTTTCTTGCACGTACTTTATTTAATTCGTACTGTAGATCATCAACTTGGTTTCTTAACTCTGCTGCTAGAGTATCTTTACCTGTTATGGTGTCTTGTAACTCTGACATCTATAATTAATTCATTAGACATAATACATTTGGAAGAAAAATAAAAATAAATTAGAAATCAATTATTAAAATTTTGTAATAATTACTTTTAATGAAATTGTATGATACTTCTCATGAAGTTGTATATTTATAGCTTGTAAATTCCTATTTTCCATCTGTATTTCAGCGTTAGTTCTACGTACAACTTCATCAATATTTGGTGCATCCTCTATAATAATACATTATTCATTATAGTTATTTACACTCTTTAATTAACACTTTGCGCTATGATTCAATGCATGGAACTTTATACCATATTCGTTTCAATATTTCGTAAATCTTATATTTGATTTATAAAATTCTTCGTTAGTAAAACTAGTATTTTTCATGTTTGGGTCATAAAGCATACCACAAGTTATAGTGTAAGGGGTTAACAAAATATGATATTTAAAAAATGTTACCTCCATCAAACTCGCCTTTAAGTGCAAGAGTTATCTTTTCATTTCTTTGAGATAAACGATCAAATGCTTGAACAACTTTTGAAACTGCACGCTTAGAAACTTGAACACGATTTGCTAATTTATCATCTAATTCTTCTTTGTCCCAAGAAGATAATTGCATGAGGAAAGAAGTGGTTGCCTCGCTTTCATCTGTAGCATATATTAAATAATCATAGATATGCTTAAAAATAAAAGTAAACAGAGTCATGCTTCTTACTCTTATTTTCTGATTCATCGGCTGTCTCTGCGTCAAATCTTTGAAGTAATACACGTATATCTTCATTCAACTGATTCCAATAACGATTAACAACATTAAGCACTGCATCATCTTGCATTTGTCTTTTTTCTAATTGTTCTATGCGTTGTCTTAATTCAGCTTCCATTCGATGTCGTTGCTCTAACCTCTAGTAATCAAAGTTGTGTAAATGTAATGTAAATGTAAGTGTATACATTAAACATAAAATAGTATCAAATAAAAATAAACATAACAAAGTATTAGTTTAACATAAGTAAATAAAACAAGAAATAATAAAAGCTTGTAAAAATCTGTATACACAACTGTTATTTAATACATGCTTAGATCTTATATGAACAAAAATTAATTTATCAATATTATCTATAATTAATTTCAAATATAACCTATAATAATAATCATTCATGAAAATTCATTGTATACATAATAAGATGTAGTATTTAATCGGCAACAGATCCTTATACCTGTGATAATTTTTTATTTTGAAATTGTAGAACCTTCATATCCATTTCTTCAAGAGTTGATATTGGCCCTATAAGAATGGGTTCAAATTGAACCTTTTTAATGGGTGGTTGTGAACCTGAATCTCCACCATCTGCTGGTCGCTTCGACATTTTTAAATGATGTTATTTGTCTTTACTGTAATAAATAAAAATACAAAATTATTTAAATATACATAATATATCGATAGTCATTAAGAATATGTTTATTATTGATTAGGACGAAAAGTACCTTAAAACGGATATAAATTCTTCGAAGAATCTCTTTTTAAAAACTATTTAAATACTCTTATCATGTATAGTCATTTTAAGAGAACGAATATCTGTCGAAGTGTTATTATTTCGACAGTTCTTCACATTTTATTAAGAAGTATCGTTCTTTGGTAGAAAGTAAGCGCTTATAACGGAAGCCGCCATTGTGGAACAACTTTCGTGTTAGGGTAATAAAAAAAGTGGAAAATACTGACATTTTATCAAGAGACATACAACGTCATCTACAGATACATGTTAACCAATAGGAAATAAGGATATATGCAGTATCTTAATACATCGTAAGAAACGATCTGATTTGTTGCTTTAGCAATATTATGCGCACCAATGGGATTATCCTATTTAAAATTCTTTTTGTAGTAAATAAATATATTACAAAAAATTGTCTTTATTTCTCAATTTATTATTTTTTTATTGATAAATAGAATAAGAAATTAACAATCATTTAAAAATACATTCATCGATTTTTCTGTCAGTTTTCTTTGTATTTTTGCGCGTATAATATTTATTTTTATTTCGGATTAAGTTACGTGGGAAAATTCAAATTAACTTATTTTTGAATATTTTAATATTTTTAATGTAATAATATATTTTTTATGAAATATTTAGTTATGTATATAATAAAATGAGGAAATAAATATAACATTATTTATACTAAAGAATACATATTTAAATATATTATTTATTCATTAAATACGTATTGTGGTATGATTAAAAGATTTGTATTAAAAATGTTGTATAGCTACGGATCTGTAAACGTGTTTCCTTGGAAACCACCCCGCAATGAAATCTGCATGATTAAAATCCATATGGATTAAACTTATAATTTCATGGATTTGACTTACCATCGTTTGTACGATTAGAATCTAAAATACTATTGCAAAAATGAAATCTTATACCGATCAAGCTTCAATTGTGGTTCCACCACCACCTCCAAGATTTACGTTGAATGAGTGGCATCTCAATAATACTTTCAGGTATTTAAATGTAGAATTATTACATCTCTTTGTTTCAGCTCATTTTTTCCTTCTTATGATGAATATTTTTCTCTTTTCAAAATCAGATATCAATGCTCAGTAGCTCAACAAGAATTAGCTGATAGTCTTTTATCAGAATCGAAAAGAGTTTGCGAATTAACTGCTGAAACAGCTAAAACTAACAAAGAAGAAACAGATCATCGGCTTAAAGAAAAATTAGAGGATATTGATTTCCGTAAAAAAGAATTATTAAGAATAAGAAAAGAAGTGATTCTTGAAATTGATGCACTTTCTACATATAAAGGGCGTATTATGGATGCACTTTCTTCTGTAAAAAGAAACGCTCTTATTATCTGTGAAAAATGTCTTATTGTGAGGTAAACAATTTAATTAAAAACAAATTTCATAAATATTATTTTTTTATATTTTAAAATCATATATTTTATTATAAAATATTATACAATCACAGAGAACACAGATTAGGTATAGATTTAGTACACGATCAGGTTGAAGCAGAATTATTGAAAGAGTGCGATGTGATTAAGGGTACAGAGATTTTGTTAACACGTATTTTGGAACAAACTCAAGAACAAATACGTAGATTAAAAGCTACTCTTTATTACATGGATCATGATCTTGAAGATAAAGAAAACAATTTACGTATCGACAAACATAATTTAACATTGAAGGAAACTAGTTTGAATTTGAGTCTTTATCATGGAACTTCTCGTCTCGATCCATCGTAAGGCACACATTTGTTGCATAAATATTTAAAGAGAAAAACATTATATTTTATTATGTTTTACTTTAGAATAATCTATGGATAATATTGATAAGTATGTCTACCTATACAGGACTATAACACTGAACGAATGGGAAATGCAAACAAATAATAATATTATATCTGCTAGTAAAGAGATCAATAGTGCAAGACCTATGCGTGCTTATATTGATACAATAATAAAACAAACTATCGATGATCTTAATAGTCAGAAAAATGCAACAGATGAAGCATTTAGGAAACGTATAGAAGAAACTAAAGAAATAAAAACTAAATTAGAAGTACAACATTCAGAGGTATATCATATATTTTTATAATATAGACTGCATTATTGTAAATCTACATTATTTCTAGATAATGCGACAAGCAAGTGAAATGACACGAAATATAACACAAATAGAAAAATCAATTGCGGAGAAAGAAGGATATATGGCCCTAGCTCATACAAGATTAGGCAATCGATGTCAACGACCTGGTTTAGAGCTTACTAGAGATCTTGTAGAAACATATCTCGTCAAAGAAGTACATGACTTACGTGAAATTGTCAAAGAATTGCAACAAACGCTTTGTGAGGTTTGTAATTCATATACGATATTTATCAAAATGAATTTAATTTTTAATTATTATAATATGCTAATAGGCTCAAGCATCACTGCGTTATTTATTAAAAACACAAATTCAACTCGAAGAAGATATTAACATTAAAACGAATACATTAAAAATCGATGAAGTTGATTGTATGACATTACGACAAAGTATGAGTTATTATGCATATTAAAAATGCATTATATTTTTGCTTTTTTATAATCTTTAGACATATACGTGATTTATAAAAAATAAAAAGTAAACAATTTAATTATTACTTGATTTTATAAATAAATAAATAAATAAATAAAAAATAAGTCATGCTTAAAATATATTCGATAATGGACATTATTTATTTTGTAAAAGTTCTTGGAAGAAGATCGTTCGATAGTGACTTTTTATTTGAATCGTTAAAGTTGGCAACACTTATTTAATGGAACGACTTCCGGCTGGTTGCTTTCTTTCTAGTGAGGGATGTTGACCATTACGATATGGATGTGAACTTAGTGCATTGGAATCTTTCTTAGTTTACAGTTGCATAAGATTATTTTGTATAAAGAAGTAATATCTTATTAGAAACGATAGATAATTGTTATTAATTCAGTCGTATGAAAATCGTTTGATCGTTGCGTACGATTTTACCTATTCACGATTTGTTCTATATACGTGTATATATATACACATATATATATATAGAGAGGGATATACTTTTCATCATATAGATAAAAAGAAGGATCTTTTTCTACCGGTGTAATGGCCGATGTAGAAGGAAAGAAGTTAACCGAGCTTCGTGTTATAGATCTTAAAACAGAATTAGAACGACGTGGTTTAGATAAAACAGGAAACAAAGCAGCACTTCTTGAGCGTCTTTCTAAGGTATTATTTAATGAATTTTCATCTCTATTAAATTTTCGATCAAAAATATTTAAATATATATACATTAATTTTATTACTTTCCGTAATGGGTTTTCTTTTTCTTCTTTCTCGCGTAGTATCATGTGTGCCGTCGGCCATTTTAACCCTATTGATTCTTATTCAGATTATTTGTAGAATTAACGGGAAATGTTACAAGAAATTTATAATTTAACATTCGTGTAGTAATCATGTTAATTACATGATATTTCTAGAAAAATTCTGGTAATATCATGATTATTATTTCTTACGAAATATTTAGCGAAACTTGGTTCGATGTTAAAAATAATTCTTAATGGCCATTGATTCTTTTTTCATCGTTTTACGCATAAAGATATGTTTTTTTTTTCGTTAGACGGCGATGTATTGCGTAGTTTTAAATATATTATCTACAAATTCTATATAATGTGTATATACATAAGTTTTTATGTATATGTTTTATATAGCCTAGTTATATAGAAAGACTAATTGTTAATTAATTACCCTTTACACGTATATTTCATCAGAATATACTATTAGAAGTTCTATGCTTTAACTTAAAAATAATAATGCTTTTTCCATATTATAAAATTACATCTAGAGATAATCAATATTTCAATATTATTTCAAGTATGAAATACTTGAAACATCTTATGTAATATCTTGAATTATGTAAAGACGAAGTATTAATAAAAATAATATTTTATTACTTAATAATGTATATGTTCATCAATTATATAGGGTGTTTGTTTAATTGGTAATACAAGTATAAGCAAGGGTAATTTTATATGAAATACTAAATCGAAAATATGTCAAGTACACGTATACTTGATTTAGTTTCAGCTCAGTGGATTTTACTATTTTATTCCCAGATTTTTCAAAAATAACATTTGTGTGCTTCTTAATATTATTAAATCAATGCTACTATGATGATATCTTTTATATTGGTTTTACTCTTATGTGTATCAAATAAAGTTTTTAGTTTTCAAAGTTGCAAGTTTAGTAGAGTGCATTCATATTTGACAAATTTTCAAACTTATTTTTCTCAGAAACAAAGCCTATTAGATTTTTGAATTTTATTCTACATTCTTGATTTATTTTTTCACGTAAAATCATTCCTTGCTCGCTTGCATTACCAATTACACAGGATACCTTATATAATTGATGAACATATATTTTTTATAATTAATTATGTTAATAAATAATATTTTGTAGAGAATAGAGACAAAAAATGATGATGATAATTATTATCATTATATATATTATTATTATAAAATAATATTGTTTAGGCTATATCTGACGATGGAGAAAATCCTGAAGAATATCTTATTGTGCCTTGTGGTGGAGTTTGCAAAACTAGTCCAAGGAAAAACAGTGGTATATAACTAATAACTTGCTTTTTATGATCTTCATTCTAAATTTATATTAAAATTTTGTTCTACTAAAATATGTATCGATATACATTCAATGTAGAGTTAGATGAATTAACATAATTGAAAAAATTGCTTCATAGTCACAGGTGTACCCAATCAAGATGATACTTTGGAATCATCTGAAAGTCAGAAAGAGGAAATTGTTGAACCATTAAAGAAAGAAAATGTAGATACCCAAGATACTAATAATGACTTAAAAGCAAAGTCAAAACCAAAACAGTTGCCTGAAGAAAATCTTGTTGCTAAAAAGGAGGTACGAAAATTCGTCCTACTTAATTTTTAATAAAAGATCTATATTTATATCTATATATAACATTTTATTTATGTTACATTAAATTATGTTACATTTAAAAATATTTTTGATATCAAAGGATACATCTAATGATGCTTCTGATAATCCTCCGAAAGAATCAGAAATTAAACAAGAAACAAAAACTACAACAGTAAATAAAACTACACCTGAAAGCACACCAACTAGTGAGAAGAAACCTGAAACTGAGAAGACAACTACATCAAATCAGTCTTCAACTACAGGTGCAGTAGAAGCTAATGGAATGGATAATGAAGATTCTATTAATTTAACCATTGGGGAAGATGAAGAAAATCTCCTTGCTGAGGAGGTAGTTTATTTGAATTTATTACATAAGGTTTTTTTTTAATTATAAAATATATTATACTTAATAGCAATAAACTTATATTAAATGTTTCTCTTTTACAGACTGAATCCCATGATAGGCATAAGGGTAAGTCAAAGGTTAATTTTATTTTAATTATAGCGTAGATATATATATATATATATATAAATTTGCAAAGTTAGAAACTAGAAATAGTAGTAACCTTAACTATGGTCCTGAGTAAAATGCTCAAATCTGCGACGCCATCAAGACTTTCGGAACATGTTCAAGTTACAACGTGTAACAGCACATCAATCCAGAATTGGGGGCAGTATTGGTATTCTTCATTGCGTTGTACCTCTTGTACAACCTTTGCTTTGGCCCACGAGTTACGCAAGCTGAACTTCAACATACAACAGGAAGTGATCTTCTCTCTTGCTAGTCAAGTGGACGGAGCAGATATCTTCACAAACAATAGCACTCACTGTGCTTCAAAAAGGTTTCAAGCAGAACGAAAGTACTTCGTATCATTTACGTGCAACCAATGCCAGAGTTACATAAGACAACCCGTATATTCAATAAGCGCTAGTTTTTAAGTTAGTTAACACTAGAATTTGATATACCCGTTACATTAATTATGCCTGCCGCATAGAGCATCGTTGGATCATCAAAACACATTGTGGATACAAGAAGATTTATGTGCGTCTCAACTTGGAAATGTCTCATATATATACATATCACAATTAAACGTGATATTAATCAGCATATGATTGAACTCACTATTTTCGATTCATCACACATATGGACTTATTGCAACTCTAAGCAGAATCGATATATTAAATGTGCTCGAATACATTTCCCCCCATGCAAGAATTTGATATATTCCAGGAATCACTTGATATTCATAAAGTCAAATAGATTTTATACAATGAGCATTTCTTGCTGTCTACCTATCTACTACTGTACTCTGCATTGCTGCTTTCCCTTTTCTAGTTTCTCTTCTTGATTCAGGCTTCAAATTGACATCTTATATGTATATAAGACATGTATATGGCATCTTATATATATATATATATATATATAAATATATACATAAACGGAGAGGTACGAAGGTATTTGACTTTATGTCTCTACCTTTGGCCCCCCCGAAAAAAAGCTTAGGTTCACTGAGGTGGAACACTATGCCCAATGGAAAATGAGTTTGCAGTCCATGCAAGCCTCATCATTATTCACTGCGAAATCTTATAGTGCTCAGGAAAGTTCCTGATCGAGAGCACGAGCCATTAAACAGGAGTGTTAGGGAGGGAGAAGAATCAGGCTTGGCAGAAAGTGACTATGCTACCTTGATTGTCTCTGCAGATGGAGGTGAGAAGAAGAAAATGGAAGAGAACAAGAAAGGAGACTCTAAAGGGAGCGGTAGAGCAGAAGCTGGTGCCAGCAACAAGGAAGGGACAACGTCTGGTGCAAACGTCGGGATGAAGAACAAGCAGGATGGTGGCGATGGAAGCAAGAGGTTGGTCTCATAGCTAAGTGGTTCACAGTGGTTCGACAACGAAATATTACACGACTCTCTGCTAGTGATGTTCTTCTGCCACATACAGTACCATCAGGATAAAATACTGTTGGACAATGGGATCCCCAAGATATAATGCTTCGTCACGGTCATATACAAGATCACTTTTTCCCTTTTTTTTTTTCAATCGGATATATATGTATATATATATCAAGTTATCTATATATAACTTCTGTATTTAGGCTGTAATTCTTAACTCTGAAAAGTATGTTAAGAAAACGAGAAATTGGCTAGCAAACTTACAAAATCGTAGACCAAACGCGATTTTTTTTTAAAAGTGTTAACATATTTTGACGTTCCTAATGAAAGAATATCTTTAAAAATATATATATAAAAAATAAATTATTAAAATATATTTTAAAAATATCTTTAAAAGAAAAATAAAAAATAAAAAAAAAGGAAAGAAATATCAAGTGCTACGTTTTCGGTTCGACGAAGATATTTCTTTTTAAAAGAGACTACGAGTTCCATCATGCGCCGTAATACAAGAACAATTTAGTATATTATGATTAATTCTACTTGGCAGAATGCAGTTATTTAACTTGTGTACCGAGAAGCAATCAAATATGATTTACCGAAGACATTACCTACTTTATATATAGACCGCGTATGTGTATAAAAATATATATCTAAAAAATAAAAAGTAAAAAATATAAAAAAAAAAGTAAAAAAATTAAAAAACAAAATGTTAGTTTTCATCATGGCAAGACATGTGCTGTCAGAAGAACTGCGAAGGAGGGGCATCCGCTTTGGAGATACAGTGGGATTAATGGCATGAACTATTCCTATGTGGATATACAATCATCGTACACGAACACGATGAATATATGGATAAAAACAGTGAAATTGCATGATGTACTTTAAGTTAATCGAGTAATACTTGTGTATCATAAAAAGTGAAAGAAAGAAAATAATGCAAACTGTTATACGATATATGTTAAAAGATTGCTAGCCAAATTTATGTGCTTAACATAGTTACAGAGGTACTTATTAAGCCTCAGATATAATGATAGTTATTTAATCTTTGTGTTTGACCCAATAAGATATTTGTTTAAACATATATAAAACATGATCCATATATTTTCAGTGTGGAGTCTGGCAGTAAGAATCAGAAACGAGAAGATAAAGGTACGTTTTTTTGTTATAATGGTTAAGTAAATTTATATGGAAATGTGTATCTGTATTCACTAATTTTTATTTTTATACTATTTATGTAATTCACAGAGAAAAAGACTTCTCAAATCGGCCCTCTTAATGCGAGTAGCAGAAATTTGTGGGTATCTGGATTATCATCGAGTACTCGGGCTACTGACCTAAAGCAAATATTTTCTAAATATGGAAAAGTAATAGGTGCTAAAGTTGTTACTAATGCTAGAACTCCAAGTGCAAGATGTTACGGATATGTTACTATGTCCACAAGTGAAGATGCTGCTAAGTGTATACAACACTTGCATCGAACTGAACTACATGGCCGAGTGATATCTGTTGAAAAGGTAACTTATTTTTTTAATTTTCTTGTTATTATCTTTAACTTTCTTAGGAATTTCTTTAACTCACTTTGGGAATCACTGGTTTAATTAAATAAAATCGGAACATTCGTTACTCGTTCGTTTTCTTACAATATAATATCTGATTATTTTTAGGCTAAAGGAGATTCTCAACAAAGTCATATGCGCAAACGTGATGCAGCAAATGGAAAATCAGAAAAGAAAGAAGAAAAGGATAAAGCTAAAGATAATCATGAAACTAACGAAAGAAAGGAAAAAGAAGCTAAGAAAGAGGGCGAAGAAAAAGGACCTGAACAAGGTATGCCTTTTTTACCAATTTTTTTTCTAATTAGTATAACACAATAATATGTTTAATTTAATTTACATAAATAATTTAATATTTTTATGTGGTATAATATTTTATACAGTTAAAAAGAATGACGAGAAAAATGAAAATGTTGATGCTAAGAAAACTGAACCAATTGATAAAAAGGAGGAAATATCCAAGGAATCTGATTCTCGATCAACTAAATCTACCAGTAAAAAACCAGAAAGTGAAAGAGGTCGACGAGAGGATAAACGAATTCGTCCATGGGATCATCATCGCTCTTACAGTCGTTCACGTAGTCGAGAACGCCGTAGACGTGACGACGTCCTTACTTTTGCGAAAATAAGGGTTAGTATCAACAAAAATATATATACTTTAACATTAGATTTGTGAATTAATCTAAATTTTTTTCTTTTATAAATACTGTTAAATCGTCCGACTATTTATTCCAACATCTTTATTTCAACTCACTTATATCGATGTTTTTGAAATAACGTATGCCCTAAAGTATACACACAAAACTTGCATACTCTCTCACTTCTTCAAATACATATTTCTATATTCTTCATAACAACTAAGAATAACATTTCTTATACTTTTACCTAAAAAAAACATTTTCGCTTATCCTAGAATATCTATTTATATTTGTAAGAAGGTTGCGTTTACCTTTTCTATAATCATCTGTTTTTGTTTGACTTTGTGAGAAACGTATTCTAAAAATATCTACTTAAAACTAACTACAAAAAAAAACCATTGGCGTACATATCTAACGTATACAATAAATTTATTTAATATTTTAACAAATACATATGATCAATTCTATGAATTCTTTTTTTATTTTAATTTTATTATAATTTATATCATAAAAAATTAATATTAATAATTATAAGAGTCTGAATTGATGCGACAACAGATTGATAATTTGCAGGAGGAACGTGAAAGACAGAGATTACGCGAACGTGACAGATTGTTACGGGAAGAGGAAAGAAGACGTCGCGAGGATATGGAAAGACAACGAGAAATCGAACGTAGACAGAGAGAAGAGGCAGCTCGTTTGGATAGAGAAAGAGAAAAATTGAGAAGAGAAAGGGAAAGAATAGAACAAGAAAAGGCGGAATTACTTCGTTTAGAGCGAGAACGTCAGAAATTGGAAAGAGAGAAATTGGAACGCGAAAGATTGGAATTAAAGAGACAACAAATGCGTTTGGAAGAAAGTAGACGTGCTCCGCCACCACCTTCAATCAAAAGAACCTCCAGCGATAGAAGAGATCCTAGAGACATGTACGTTGATCCTGAACGAAAACGTATGGCTACGGAACATGGCAGAAGACATAGTCCAGATAGAGTTAGTGATAGAAGAACTGAGATTATGGATCGTGTTTCTGATAGACGATTAGATCCGTCACCACCTACACGCTACGAATCAAGCAGGTAATCTTAATAGATACAATTAATTTATTATCGTTTAATAGTGTGTATTTAATTACTGGATTGGGTTGGATTATAATTATGTTATTTTTATAAATAGAATAAAATTATAGAGAATATTTTACCAAGCTTTGTCTTCAAGTAATGTAAGTTTTTGCAGAAGTGCATTGGTACAGTTGTAATATTTAAAAATACACATTTTTCCTTTACCATTTTGGTCTAATTGCAGAAAAAAAATTAAGTTTTAATTCAGTCGAATTATTAAATACTCATTGTATATATGAATTGTGAAATATTTGGAGGACGAAAAATTAATTTAATTTTTGTTTAATTAATTACAGATCTACGCAAGAGATGGGATTGAAGAAAGAATTTAAACGCAGTAGTGAATTTACTTCAAGAAGTAATCGTCCGGAAACATTTTCTGATGTATCACGTGGAAGGGAAGTTATCGTACGTCGTGAATCCCTCTCTGCAGCATCCTCATCTATTGATCCACGACAAGTTAAAGAAAGGTAATTTGAATTGTTAATTTAAAATGTTTATTCTCTCAATTATTAATTATTATAAATGAAAATTTAGATACACTTGTAAAATCTCGTGTCAGTAAAATGACAAAATGATAATATTTTTTATTTTATATCTATATATTATATCATAAATTTGTTTTAATTAATAATTTTGTTTACAAATTGTGTAGATACGAACGACCCAGTACTGCAACATATACTCGTGAACGCGAGGTACGACGATCAGATCCGGAGTCTCATAGAAATTCTAGGGATAGTCATACGCGTTATAGTGAAAGCTTCAAACCACCGAGTTCGAGTGCACCCCGTAAGTATTATAAAGAGTACATACTCGAAAAATGTCTTTAATTTCCTGCACACCATCAGGTCGTCATGTATTAAACTCGTATGGAATCATATTTCTATGATTCATTATAACAGTGGTTCCCTAACTTTTTTGTCCTACCGCCCCCTTTCCAGAAAAAATATTACTTAGCGACCCCCTGAAAATTAATTTTTTAATTCTTTTTTTTTTTTTTTAACTCAAAAAATATTCATTGCCCTCCCTTCCCCCTCCCAAATGTACCTGTGGCGATCTCTGCCTCTTTGAACCGCTGCAGCGCCTACATGGGGGCGGTAACGCCCACTTTGGGAATCACTGCATTATATATGAAGGTTTATTTTTTTTTATCTTATCGACGCTGTATTAATAATCTTAAAACTTAAAACATATATGTGTTATCTTTTTTTTTTATTTTTTCATTCTGTAAGTAGCATGCACAAATCTTTAAATTGAAAAATTTATTATTTTCTTATGTATTTCTATGAAAAAAACTATGCGATAGTTTTATTTTTTCAGTAAATGTCACACGATTTTGATGAATGATGTGTGCATGTTAAAATTATTGATAAAATATAATATTTTAGATATCATTTTAGTTTATATAAATTCTAATAGAAATTTTAAAATGCAATACCCGTTAGAATAAGAATGGATTTTAATTTTTTTTTTTTTTTTATTTCTAAATCATTTTCTTATTTTTCATTTAAAGATGTTACACAGCTATTTGTTACTTTAATATTAAACTTGAACTCTATTTAATTATTATCATTGAATACTATTATATTTTATTTATATATCTATATATATAGTCTACACAGTTTTTCTTAATTCGTAGTGTAAACAAGAAAGTAGTATTATTTTTTCAATTTTATTTTCAATTCCTAATTTTAAATGAATTCCAAAGTAGTAAACTCTACGTCTGATTAATTATAAAGAAAAAAAAAAAAATAAAAGTTATGTTATTAGATCTATATCGATAATCAACATTAACAAATATTATTATATTAGACTGATCTAATATATCAAGAATAAAGTAGTGTACCATAATAATTATTGTGAATTTGAAATGACTTCAGTTAGAAAGTAATGATTATGAAGGTAGAGAAGAATAAATTGTGTCATTAAATAAAAATCTAATTATTAACACGAATGTACACTGCTTTGTACGTTATAATTATTAATTTAAAGAAAAATAACTTTTGTCTACTCAATAATAATATTATTATTTTTATTCTTATCTTATGAGAAACAGACGTATAATAAGATTAATTTTGCTTTTGTACTTATGTATAGTTGAAAAATCATTACTCTGTTGTCTCATCGTTTTAATATGAGTGATTTATGTTTCTAGTTCGTTTGTATTACTTTAATCTTACAGCGTGAATATATATATATATATATATATATATATATATATCACATATATATAAGTCAGTTGAATTCTTTTGATATTGAAAATCGAATAATAAACGCAAAAGACATATTTATGTATTTCTATACACTATAATAATGTATGCTTTATTAATAAAAATTATAATTTCCGACTTATTATTGGGTTTTATTGTAGTTAGTTGAACCTAATATTGAATTTGATTAAGAAATATTTTTTCAAGTGAATTTATTTAATATTCATTTATCTTATTCAATTGGAATTTATGAGGAAATTAAATTTTTTATTATAAAGCATACTCAATGTTGCAAAGATTAATGTTGATAAAAAAATATTTTTAAGGACCCGTATTTTTCTTATCATAATAGATTCTAAATAATAATTTGTTTAAAATCATTTTAAATGTTATTAAATAGAATGATCAATACATTTTAGTAGAATATCAGATAACAATGTTAATGTTAAATTTGATATGTTTGCTTAGGTGATAGCCGTTATATAGAAAGCAATAAAACAGCAAGCGGATGGCACTCAGGTCCACCATCAACAAAGTCATTTAATTCTGTACCAAGTGGTGGAACACGTGATCCACGTAACGAACCATCAGGTTGGAGTTCTAGATCATCCGATAGTGTCAACAGGTATATTTAAGCACTTGTAATATGTAACATTTATGTATAGGGAAAATAGAATTTGTTTAAATATTATAAATGATTGTCGTTCAAACATAGATGGAGTAACTCGAGCAGTATGGGTAATACTTTACGTCATCCTGTGCCACCAACTTATCCAAGTGGTCCCATACAATCCATGGGTTTAACAGCACCGGGAACGGCTGCTTCGTATGACCGTTTTGATCCATATAAATCATCTATATCTAGTATGAGAAAATACTGATAGAGTTGATTAATTATATATATTTAAATATAAATATAAATATATATATATTATATAATAATAATATTAATAAATATATATACATATGAAAATATATGTATATCTATTTATACATATATATATACATATATAAAAGAAAAAAAAAGAAACGAACATGATTATAGAAGTTAATCGTGAAAGTTTGAGAGTATTAATAAATTTTGAATAATGTAGGTAAATTACTTCTTTTGTTAAACTAAATCATTGAAAGATTTATTTAATACATTTCACGTAAAATAGTTCAATTTTATATGCAAAATTAAAACAAAACAAAAACAATGAAAAATTGGAAACACGTTAATGTAGAAAAAAGATATTGTTTTGACGAGCTATTAGTTAAGCAGAACATTTTCCATTGATGTTTGATATATTAATCAAAATAATATTGGAATTTTATCTTATACTAATAAATTTGGTAAGATAAATTAATTGATTTAAGATTTCGTTATTATATGATATTATGGATAACGTTGGAGAAGGAAAGACATTTTTCGTAAAAATTGTTATATGAATATAAACGGTAATGCCTATTAATCTGTTAATAATCAATAATTAACTGTATTCAAGCGAAAATATTAACAGAAAATGACGGAACGTTCAAATAATGGTGAACACCGCCCTCTATTTAATAAATGATATGTGATCATGCTTGTTGTTCACCGATATAATAATAAAATCATTGAAATCTACGTATATATCACACATACACAATTATAAAGGCTCATAGCACAATATATTAAAATTTCCGAGAAGTTGCAAAGGAACTTTTGTACATTTGTTAATAGACATATATTAATAATGTGTATGTAATTTCGATTTACTTTAATTCAAAATAATAATACTAATAATAATAATAATAATAATATTAATAACAACATAACGATTCATTGATTTTAACAATTATATGGTTTTAATGTGGACACAAAAAAGATTAATAAAAGGCATATGTTTAATATAAGCTAGAAGGTATTTATAAACATTAACAAACAAAMAAAAAATAAAAAATATAGGATAAAAAAGAACAAAAACATTTGTTTCGTACATTCTAACAAGAAACATTTTGTTCGCATCGAATTGTTCTTGTGTGTTTTAAATAATACACAACAACAACAATAAAATATTATATTACATAGTGTGTTATAATCACGCTACATTATATGCTAGTAAGATAATTTTAAGCTGATATATAAAAATGCGTATTGCGTTGGATCCAAAAAAAAACCATATACGATTAACTAACAATTGCATTAGACGATTAACAAAGCAAACTTTCCATTGTTTGTAATATCTATCTAACATACATTCACATACACGTACACGCAAGCTGTTCATTCTCGATTCTTATAATGTTTTTAGTATGAACAGTGAAACTATATATATATCTTATTAACAAAAAAAATGTGTCCCCCCCCCTGATACTGTTACGAGTATGAACAGTTTGTACATTGATGAATTCCATATAAATTGTATATTGTATAAGTTTGAAAGAGAGAATCTGTGACAGAATATTTGCGTTTATATCAAATGTCACAGAAAGAGAGAAAGAGAGAGGGAAGAAGAAAAGGGAAAAATGAAAAGTGTAATGTGAACGAAGATTATAATTCCAATAATAAATTTACAAAGTAATCAATTCTTGAGAAATAAAATTAAACCAAACAAAAAAATAATAAAAAACAGGACTATCAATAACCATTCAACCCATCCGATGGAAATAATAATAATAATAAAATAATTTCATCGTCGTCGATCATGGAAGGAATCAGAAAAAAATAATGAAAGAAGCATGATCAAGATCAAGATCAAGAAGAAGAAGAAGAGTGCATTCCAAAGTGTATATATGTACCCATAACGAATAATCGAAAGCTGATGGAGTGGTAGAAGAAAGAGCAATAGCAATAGCAAGAGGTTGTTAGTAGTAGTRGCAATAATACAACGATGAACACTTTCCCTTGATAGTCGTGTTAGGGATGGCGTGTTTCCATCAGAGAAAAAGAGGAAGAGTAAATAAAGAGAGAGCGAGCAAGCAAGCAAGCAAGCTAGCACATCAGAAATAAAGTGTGTCGAGGTCTTTTCACGGGCAGTCTCTGTAGCCTGGGTACTCTGCAATCACGGTTGCACGAATATTTGCTTCCTTCTTACTTTTACACAAGTTTTCAATTAAAACAAAAAAAATTCTTTCTTTTCTCCCTTTTAACTTATCACTCTTTTATTTCTTCACTCTTCTCTTGCATCCTTTCTCTTCTCTGCGTGTCTATCTTTATCCTTTTCTTTCTTCGGATCTCTACTTTTCTCCCTTCTCTTCTTTTTCTTCTTCTGTCTCCTTTCTCCTCTCTCTCTCTCTCTCTCTTTCTTTCTTTCTTTCTTTCTTTCTTCAAATTCGATACCATGCATAATTTGTCGGTACTCCGGTGATCTTCACGAAAGAGAGTCTCTTTTAATAGTTCAGCACTGTGTCTGGTAGTGAGCCACTCAGAGAGTGTTTAGTAGGTGTCAGGTGTGGTGTGTGACAGTCTCATCAGTAGTGTTGTGGATTAAGTGCTGGAATGTGCGTGAAAACTTGACAGGAATTTCTTTAACGAAGATGTTCTCTTTATTTCTTTTTAGTAAGTGTATTGTTTATGAGAGAGAGAAAGAGACAAACAGGAAGAGACCACCCTCTTTCTCTTTACTATAACAAATCCTAACAATATCACACTAGCTGAGATTGTTTAGATTATAGCGAAATAATTTTTTATTTTGTATTATTTTATAGTTTTGCTTTTTTTGTTTATTTTTATATGCAAGAAATAAAATTTGTTAACATAGTTATTTGCGTTAGAATCTGAATCGAGAGAAAGGATAGAAATGTCAGTAAAAGATAAAAATATGAAATAATAAAATAAAATCAAAATCAAATGTTTAGAGGCGTGTATCGTAGAAAACGCGTTACTTTCTACATGCTGCTTTCAAACTAACGTCAGTAGGTCTCTTGTTCATGAATTTTGATTCATTCTTTCATTATTTTTATGTATATGTATGATGTTTTTCTTATAAATATTTGATCTAATTAAGAAAATATATAAAAATTAAATGAAATAATTGATTGACATCAGCATCATTATTTTAGATTATATAAATACATTAAAGTAAATGATTTGTATTACACATTTGTCGTGACAAAACAAATAATTTAAAAAATATGTATTTAACTCTCGCGAAGCACGTGTGCTCTAATGTGTTGTCGTAATTGAAAAAGAAAATCACAAACCGTAAAGAATACACGCTAAGTGCAGTTTCTTATCACGCGCCGTTTATTAATTGTAACTTTTATTTTATTTTAAAGAAAAATCTTTCTTTTGTGTTATCCGATATGAAATCTATTTTATCTTTCTCTCTTTTTTTTTTTCTTTTGTTAAATTTTTACTTTATCTTTTTTCAATTTGCTGAAATTCAGCACACTTTCACCGTGCGTCAGAACGTAACGCTTTCGATAAGAGTTCCTTTTTTTTTTGTATTTATGTACATAAATAAGAACTTACATTTTTCTTTCATTTACTGCACGAAATTCATGTTTACATTAATAAGTATGATCTCATTAAAAAAAAATTATTTTCTCCTTTAATTTATGCATTACAATCATTTAAATCGTTGTAAAACAGTTCAATGGAAACAAATATTTCATTTAAAAGTTCCATTAAATCCGATTAGATTAGTCTACCTGCATGGGCATACGATACAAGATGCAATTAGAATAAAACAATCAAGCAATTAACACGCTATTGCATAAACAGTTATCATCTCATTCCTTCAGTTATAATTTTTGTATTTTCTTATTATCCTATCAGAAACATAATATTTTGAATGTCATTACACCCGCATGATACGGGTTTTTTTCTTACACCATCTTCTATAATTATCAAATTACCTGTTGCATCGAAATGTAGCTCAATGCCATGTCGATGAGTTACGTTATGAGATATTATCAAAAAAAAAAAGGAAAACAAAAGTCATGCAACGATGTTACACAATTTTGATAGACATAATTATTTCCATAATTAAAAAAAAAAAAAAGAAAAATTAAATTCCCTTGTGTGCGTGTGTGTACATATAAACGTAACACAGTAGCTCGTACGCGCGCACACATATACGTACGTACATTAACATGTATAGAAGTGCACTTAAAGTTTGATGGAGTATGAAACTTTCTTCGTATATTTTACGATTGGGATTTTCCAGATACAGATGAGAGAGTGTCGTATAACAATGATCACGTTTCGCTCTCTTACCCCCTTCTCATTCTAAGAAAAATAAATGATCTTCTCTTCGACGTAAATAGTTTGAATGTATTAGCTGTATGAGTCAGTGAACGGAAGAAAGGCACACTTTCTCGTCGAGCAACTTTCACCGTCGATGAAGTCCATGTGTAGTAACTTGTACCGAAAAGTCCTCCTTTTTCATGCACACGTAATTTTGTAATTAGACTCCCCTTATATACCCCCAGCCCTTTCTTTCTGCTCTTCTTTTCTTTCTTTTTATTTCAACCTTCAATTTTTCATTCAACTTGATAAATGAGGAATCTTTTCGATGTCATACAAATTCTATTAGATTATTTATTGAAAATCAAGCTTAAAAGAAAAAATATATATTAAGAAGATTAGTATTCTTCACTTGTATGTAATTAACCCAATAAACGATACAAAAATGTTTCCTGTCTCATTGATTATGCAAAAATGGAACGTGGGATGACAAAGAGACGTTTCTAAGCTATTCTTTCTTATCTTGTTTTTTGAAAGAAAGGTCGAAAAGAAAGGATCACCTACATGACAATGACTAAAAGTTGACATTAAAATAAATAAAAAATAAATATGGAATAAAAAATGATGAGGATCCGTATCTTCATCGTTGTTTTATTTGATAATGATAGCTTCAAATTTGGGTTACTCAAAGAACCGGTTCTTCCCTGATTCCAAACATATTCCTTTGTGCTGAAATATTCGAAATGAGTTTAGAAGCCGGATTCTATGGGGTTTTT